TTGCAACCCGTGAATGCATGAGCCCATTTCAACTCACGTTCTTCCCTGAATCCTTTTGCCTCGTGAATGCAATGTATCACGAAACAAAATATGCAATTGAACGGGTAGTTACTTTTATGGCGGTATATGCAAATTGGAGTTTTGTAGCAAATTGGATCAAGAATTTGATAATATCGAGTGCTTTATGTTATAAAGCCAAATCACGCCTGTTCTGCATCAATTGAAGGAATCGACAAGCGTGATTTGACTTTATAACATCATTACTTTCATCCCGCTCTATCAAATTCTTGATCCGCTACATGCTCAGTGGAAAAGCTTGGGATCTAGTTATTGAGCAAAAGGTAATAATTTGAGTCATTAATTTGTGATATCATTCGTAAACTCTTTATGTTTGCAATGGATGTCATTCTCGGGTGTTACTAGGCAATGATGACCGTCATTTTCTTCTGGACCGCTTACAAAACTAATTCTTTTCCGGTAGGCTAATATTCTTGCTGCTCTCCATTGTTTGTGGCTACTTTTTTCACATTTCAATTTCTTTTGAGTACAATCAGTACAATCTATTGGATTATTACCATGATATCTAAAAACGTTTGTGATGTGAAATTTAGCAAAAGCCTGATCATTTTAACTCAAACTTTCGGGTATTTTTTAATAACAATAATATCTTCATTTATTTATTTTTTCATAAATTGCCAGAATGTATTTGGTGTGTCGACACTTGAGAAAATGGCACACGGTGACTTTCGGAAGCTTGCTTCAGCTATATATCTTCACGTGAGCACTATCAGCCAAGTCCTTATATTTGTCACAAGGTCTCGAAGCTGGTCATATGTCGAACGTCTCGATTTGCTGCTTGTGGCAGCATTTGTGATTGCTCAACTGGTTAGTTAGTAAGTCTTGTTTTACTCGTTGAATAATAAATTTAAACCATTTTTTTTCTCTTTGTCCTTTTTCGAGAGTAAAGAAATACTTATTTGGAACAGGTAGCTACTCTTATCGCAGTATATGCAAATTGGAGTTTTGCAGCAATTGAAGGAATCGGTTGAGGCTTGAAGGTATTAGTAGCAATTGAACAGGTAGCTACTCTTATGGCGGTATATGCAAATTGGAGTTTTGCAGCAAATTGGATCAAGAATTTGATAATATCGAGAAGGATGTATGATATAAAGCCAAATCACGTCTGTTTTCCAGCAATTGAAGGAATCAGCATGCGTAATTTGGCTTTATAACATCATTCCTTACATCTCGCTCGATATTATCAATTTCTTGATTCGCTACAATTGCTGCAGAACTCCAATTTGCATATACCGCGATAAGAGTATCTACCTGTTCAAATAAGTATTTTGAATCAAAATGTTTACTCTCAAAAAAGGACAAAGAGAAAAGAAAAAAATAAATAGAG